TGGAGTGCAGTGGTGCGATCTCGGCTCACTGCAAGCTCCGCCTCCCGGGTTCACACCATTCTCCTGCCTCAGCCGCCCGAGTAGCTGGGACTACAGGCGCCCGCCACCACGCCCGGCTGATTTTTTGTATTTTTAGTAGAGACGGGGTTTCACCGTGTTAGCCAGGATGGTCTCGATCTCCTGACATCGTGATCCGCCCACCTCGGCCTCCCAAAGTGCTGGGATTACAGGTGTGAGCCATCGCACCCGGCTATGCTCATACTTTTTTTCAAATATTTACCTATATTTATTTTTGACAGAGTTTATGCTCATTGCTGAAAGAGTGTTTAATGTTTGAGGATAGTTTAGTCCATGGAGAGAACACCCCACCAATATTCATGCTTTTTTTAATGCTCAATTTATTAAAAATATACCTATAAACAAAATTTAGAAATGTGTTTTCTTTAATATTCAAAGATTGATTGCAAATTTCATTAAATTTCCTTCAACAATTTAAACTGTAATTACAAATTCACCATGAGGATTCTTTTGAATACAGTTATTTATTTATTTATTTATTTTTGAAATGAAGTCTCACTCTGTTGCCCAGGCTGGAGCGCAGTGGCGTGATCTCGGCTCCTTGCAACCTCTGCCTCCCAGATTCAAGCGATTCTCCTTCCTCAGCCTCCTGAGTAGCTGGGATTACAGGTGCGTGCCACTACACTTGGCTAATTTTTGTATTTTTGGTAGATACGGGGTTTCACCACGTTGGCCAGGCTAGTCTGGAACTCCTGACCTCAGGTGACCAGCCCGATTGGGCCTACCAAAGTGCTGGGGTTACAGGTGTGAGCAACTGCGCCTGGCCTCTTGTGAATACACTTTAAACTTTACACGAAGTAAACACACATGCAGTGATTACAAGGCTTACTGTAATTATTTTTAAATCTGTTTTAAATTACCAGCATCATGGATTTAATTTATTACTTCACTGGTTTTTACTTGTTTGTGTTTTTCCCTAGGTATATGATACTTTGTTATTTGCTAAAAAATTTCTTTTGATGTTTCCTTGTGTTCCTGAAATCTTATCAGACCCTATTTCCACCCACATGGTCTAATATCCTCAATCCTCAGATCAACCAAGGCTGTAGACTCGGGCTTCTCAGCAGATTGCTTCATGGTTGGGGCTCCGAAGGTGGTGGTTTTTCTCAAAGAGCTGTATCTTTTTGTAGTAAGATTCTGCTACCTCAGCACCTTTACTTTTTAGCAACATCAGTATGTCCCACAGGCTTATCTTGTGCTTTACCCGCCCGAAACACAAAATCAGCTCCCCTCCAAGGGCCCAGGTTTCTTTTAGTGGATAATTATATTATAGACCAAAGTCCAGGCTCTAAGAAGTTGATGTTGGTAAAAAGGACCTGGTTGTTACTGAGCCCCTCTTAGTAGTGATAGAACTGAAAGACAGCAAATACTCCTAATATGTAAATAGTCCCTACAAATCAACAAGAAAAAGACCAAGGCAGGATGTGGTGGCTCATGCCTGTAATTTCAGTGTTTTGGGAGGCTGAGGTAGGAGGATTGCTTGAGTTGGGGAGTTTGCAACATAGCAAGACCCCATCTTTACTAAACATGAAAAAAATTAGCTGGGTATGGTGGCATACACTTGTAGTCCCAGCTATTTGGGAAACTGAGGTAGGAGGATCATCTGAACCCAGGAGTTAGAGGTTTCAGTGAGCTGTGATGGCACCACTGCACTCCAGTGACATGGTGAGACCCTGTCTCAAAAAAGAAAGAGAGGAAGGAAGGAAGGAAGGAAGGAAGGAAGGAAGAGCCCAAAATCCAATAGAAAAATGGAACAGCCAGTTCACACAAAATGAAATACAAATAGCTCCTACAGTATAAAAAGATGCTCAACTTTACTCATAATAAGGAAAATGCAAATTAAAATTAAAACTAGGATACCATTTTTCACCTATCCGATTGGCTAAGGTAATCCTGGTTATTAACACACCGTTGGCAAAAGTGAGGAAGAACGGGCATTCTCAGACATAGTCCACTGCAGGGGTGTAAATCAGTACAAGTTTCTACAGAGGGCAACTGAGCAGTTTCTGCCGAAATTTGATATGCTTTTGGTCCAGAAATTCTATCTCCAGGGTTTTGTTCTACAGATATACTTTCATACAAGAAATGCTGTATATACAAGGATTATTTCTTTCAGCACTTTTTCATAGTTACAAAAGATTACTAACAACCTGCGTCCACTATAAGAGACTAGTAGAATTTATTATGTTACAGCAAATAGCAGCCTCAGCAAAGAACAAGGAAGCTCTTTGTGCACGGATATGGAATGACCTCCTGTTGCACTGTGGAAAAACGAGATGCAGAATAAGGTGTGCTCTGATGTGCAGGAAAAGGACAAAAAGGATAGGTGTGTATTTGCTCTGTAATATTAGTGCACAGAAGAGACTGGTAACAGTGATTGCTGGGAATGGAGCAACTGAGTGGCTTGGGGCCGAGAGGAGGGAGAAACTAGTGAATACCACTTGGTACCTTTTGAATTTTGAATCAGGTGAATGTACTTCCCACTAAACAATTAAGCAGGGCGGGGCGTGGTGGCTCACGGCTGTAATCCCAACACTTTGGGAGGCCAAGGCAGGTGGATCACTTGAGGTCAGGAGTTCAAGACCAGCCTGGCCAACATGGTGAAACCCCATCTCGACTGAAAATACCAAAAGTAGCTAGGTGTGGTGTGTGCCTGTAATCCCAGCTACTCGGGAGCCTGAGGCAGGAGAATCACTTGAACCTGGGAGGCAGAGGTTGCAGTGAGCCGAGGTCACACCACTGTACTCTAGCCCGGGCAACAGAGCAAGACTCCATCTCATTAAAAACAACAACAACAACAACAACAACAACCCAAAACCAAAACCAAAAAACAAGCAAACCAGAAAATATGCATCACAGACATATTTTCATGGACTTCATTTGTGTTTCCAGACTGACAGTAATCCATGCCACGGAGCTTATGTTACTATTCCCCTTTTGTTTACATTGTCTGATAGTTATTTGTTTCCCTTTGTCTCCCCCAAGGGAAGGATTCATTTATAATGAGTTTTTCAGCTCAGTGTGTTTCAGAAAAACACTTATTGACACCCACAAGCCCTGACACTGTGCTGTCTCCAAGGGAAACAAACGTGAGAGTCCTGCTGGGTGTGTAGTCCTTGCCTAGGACGGGCTCACTTTAGTGGGGGATACAGACATACAAACAAAAGCTCACACTGCAGTATAAAGTGCGCAACAATAGAAGTGTGCACAAGGAGTAAAGTGTTAGAAAGGAAAGCTGGGCCGGGCGCGGTGGCTCACGCCTGTAATCCCAGCACTTTGGGAGGCCGAGACGGGTGGATCACGAGGTCAGGAGATCGAGACCATCGTGGCTAACACGGTGAAACCCCATCTCTACTAAAAAATACAAAAAACTAGCCGGGCGAGGTGGCGGGCGCCTGTAGTCCCAGCTACTCGGGAGGCTGAGGCAGGAGAATGGCGTAAACCGGGGAGGTGGAGCTTGCAGTGAGCTGAGATCCGGCCACTGCACCCCAGCCTGGGCGACACAGCAAGACTCCGTCTCAAAAAAAAAAAAAGAAAGAAAGAAAAGCTGAACCTGGCGTGGAGCCTGGCGTGGTGCCTCATGCCTGTAATTCCAGCACTTTGGGAGACTGAGGTGGGTGGATCACGAGGTCAGGAGTTCAAGACCAGCCTGGCCAACATGGAGAAACCCCGTCTCTACTAAAAATACAAAAATTAGCTGAGTGTGATGGCGGGCGACTGCAATCCCAGCTACTTAGAAAGCTGAGGCAGAGAATTGCTTGAACCTGGGAGATGGAGGTTGCAGTGAGGCAAGATGGCGCCACTGCACTCCAGCCTGCATTCCAGGGTGACAGAGTGAGACTCCATCTCAAAACAAAAAAAAAAAAAGGAAGGAAAGCTAATTTGCTCTGGTGGGGTGGTGGGGGATGAAAGTACCCGGCAAGACTTTCCGGAGAAACTGGAGAGTAACTAGGGTTTAGAAGCATGAATAGATGAATAGATTAATCCAGGAGCAAGTTCTTTGAGAGAACAGCAGTGCGGGGGCGGGGAGTTCCAGGGAACAGATGGCTCCAGACCAAAGAGAAATTGGAGACGAATTAGGGTTTAGAAGCATGAACAGACTAACCCAGAAGTGAGTTCTTTGAGAGAACAGCAGGGGGGAGGTTCCGGGAAACACATGGCTCCAGCACAGGAGATGCCAGGGTGCAGTGGGATGAGAGGTAAGGAGCGCTGGTCAGGTTAGCAAGGGCACTGAATGCCAGAAACATTTATCTGGACTTTTATTCTGCAGGCAACAGGGAGGTGGAGGCTTTCACGCTCAAAAGGAATGAGTCCCAGTGGCTGGCACAGAGAAGGCAAGTGTGCAAAGTTGGTCAAATGAATTCCTTGGCCTGAATGTACCTTCCTCAAATGCCACTGCAAACTGGGTCTCCTCGCCCACTTCACCCTCTCCTGCAATCCAACTTGTGAGGCGTGTGTGTGTGCGTGCATGTGTGTGTGCCCTTGCGTGTATGCGTGTGTGGGTGTGTCTGTGCGTGTGTCTGCGTGTGTGCTTGTGTCTGTGCGTGTTTTCATGCATGTGTGTGCGTGTGTGTACGTGTGTGCCTGTGTGCGTGTCTGTGCAGGTGTCTGTGCGTGTGTGTGCACGTGTGTGTCTGTGTGCGTATATGCATGTGTGTGTGTGCATGCATGTGTGCGTGAGTCTCTGCGTGTGTGTGCGTGCATGCATGTGTGTGTGCGTGTGCATGTGTGCGTGAGTCTGTGCGTGTGTGTGTGTGTGTGTGTGCGCATGCATGCATGTGTGTGTGTGCATGTATGCGTGAGTCTGTGCGTGTGTGTGCGTGCCTGCATGCGTGTGTGCGCATGCATGTGTGCGTGAGTCTGTGCGTGTGTGTGCGTGTGTGTGTGCGTGTGCACGCGTGCATTTAGATGGAGGTTGGCTTCCCAGTCATCCAGGCTTGGCCCAAAGTCCGTGGTACACAAGTGCATAACTCCTACCCCCACCTCGCCTGCCTGCTGTACCAGGCGTTGATTCCCTCTTCCTGCATGTTTTCGGTTCAAATCCTTTTCTTCTTCTCCCTCCCGTCAAGATAGTAGTTTCCACTCCCTGCTCTTGCCAGGACACCGCCTTTTGGACTGGGGCTGAATTCTGCCCTTTGAAGCTCTGCTCCTTGGAGCTGGGGGCCCCAGAGGTAGGCGGAGTTGATTGGAGACCTGCCACCCACATTCCGACCCCAAGCGACCTCCAAGAGGGCGGGGTCTCAGGCTGGGTTATTTAGCTGGTCCACCCTTCTTCCCCACCAGAAGGAGCGAAACGTCTTTGAGCAAGATGGGTCTCTACCGCATCCGCTTGTCCACGGGGGCCTCGCTCCATGCGGGTTCCAAGAACCAGGTGCAGCTGTGGCTGGTCGGCCAGCACGGGGAGGCGGCGCTCGGGAAGCGACTGTGGCCCGCACGGGGCAAGGTGAGCTCCCCAGAGCCGGGCGGGGTGGGCTGCGCGCCTGGCTCCGAGTCAGTCAAATACCGGGGAGGCCACGCGCCCCCGTTGGCCTCTGGTCCATTCTCTTTGCCGAGGGCGCGCACACTGGGCTCAAAGACAGCGCACGGAGGCCGCAGGGGTGGGGGGCTTTAGGGCAGTTGGTGGCACCCAGTAAGCGCTCAATAAACGTTGCCGCTACCCGATCTCCTTGGAATTGAGGGCACCCTCCTGTGCGCCCCTCGCTGCACAGAGTTCCCTTGTCTGGAAACTCAGCGGACACCGGAGCGGCCGTCGGTCCTCCCGCTTTCTCTATCTTAAAAAAACGTTTCAACCACTAGCGCTGTTGGATCTCTGACCTTTCGGGCTTTATCACCTGGGGTGGAGTTGGTGATGAGAGGGAAGGATGGGGAGTCAAGGCAGGAGAACGCTCTCAATTTCCCGACCCACCTCCTGTCATATCTCATGTCATATCTACCTGGTGTTCTACCCGGTCCTGTTACTTTTTTTCTTCCGCGAAACCCCAAATTCCCATCACTGCTCTAGCCCTCTGCCAGATCCCCAAATCTGGATGTCTGTCTCAGGGAACGTCAAAGGAACATGCCCGAACGAGGTCCTCGCCTCTTCCCACCTCCCAGCCCTCTCCTCCTGCCTCCCCCGGTGTCTCCCGCGCCTCCTCCCTCCCTTCACCTCCCTCTAAACAAGAATCCGGCGCAGTCAGTTCTAGACCCTGAGCATCTCCCGCGTCCCAGCCCAATATCCGCCCCGCCGCCGACCGCCTGCGTCTCCTTGAACCTGCGGAGCCCTGCTCCCCGCACCCCCATGCCCTTGCTCCGAGCTTCCGAGAAAGCGGGGCGAAGGGAGCCAGAAAGAAAATGCGCACGGAGCGGGTTGCCCCGCGACTCCATGGTGAGGGGACGGGGCACGGAAGGTGGAAAGGCGCTCCCCCCTCCCTTTTTTCCTCCCTGTGGTGGGCAGTTGGTGACACACAGTAAACGCTCAATAAATGTTCCCGCTACTCCATCTCCTTGGAATTAAGGAGATGCCCCTGGGCGCCCCTCATTCCACACAGCTCTGGTGTCTGGAAACTGGTCGCCAGAGCCGTCGCAGGTCCTCCCGCTTTCTGTATTGTAAAAGCCATTTCAAACCTCCAGCGGCCTCGCCGCCTCTGCTGCAGACCTTCCAAGGCCTTCTGAAGCCAGAATGATTTCACCCTAATTCACTCCCCCTGCTTAACACATTCGAATGGCTCCCGCTTGTTCTCGGGACCAAATCCAAAGCCCTTGGCGCCACCTTCGAGAGCCTCCGGACCTGCCGACTCCCCACACCTGGCTCTGAGCTCCAGCTCCAAGATGCTGCGCCCCCTCCCATCCCCGCTGCTCGCTCTGCCCGGCGCGCCTTTCCCCTGCCTTCCCTTTCTCTCACTCTCCCTGGCTGAGCCCTCTCCGCCTTCAGGTCTCCGGGAAGGTTGTCCCCAGGCCGGTGGGGCCCCTGCAGGTCCTCAGCCTTGGGCGGGGTGGGGGCGGGGGGTGGTCGCACAGCGGGAATTGCCACCAGCGCGTCCCGGCTTCATAGCGCGCTCGTCCAGGGCGCGGCTCCGGGTTCCCAGCGCCCAGCCCAGCGCTTGGCACAGTCAACGACCACAGAGAGGAGAAAGTGAGAGCAGGTGCGGCCCTTCCCACCTGCCGTCCCCGTCCCCGTCCCCGCAGAACCGAGTCCTGGGGCCACCTGCTCGGCGCTGTTCCTCTCTCTCTCTGGCTCAGTCCCCCCACCCCGATACGTCTCCTCCTCTCAGAGCCTCCAAGGAAGGGCGTGGGCGCTGGAGGGAGCAGGGCTCAGCCGGGTGCCCCTCCCGCCCGTCCCCGCCGGGGCTGAGCCTCTAATGTCGCCCGCAGGAGACAGAAGTCAAGGTGGAAGTGCCCGAGTACCTGGGGCCGCTGCTGTTTGTGAAGCTGCGCAAACGGCCCCTCCTTCAGGACGACGCCTGGTTCTGCAGCTGGATCTCCGTGCGGGGCCCCGGAGACGGGGACGAGGTCCGGTTGCCTTGTTACCGCTGGGTGGAGGGCGACGGCGTCCTGAGCCTGCCCGAAGGCACCGGTGAGCGCGGGGCTGGGGGTGTCAGGAGGCCTCTGGGGTGCGAGAGAAGCTGGGGGGATGCGCATGTGGAGAAGAGAGCGCAGGATGGAGGTGCTGGAACCTGGAGCGCCGGGGTCTTTGGGGGTGTCGAGGGGGCGGTGGCTGCAGCTGGTACAGAGTGGCTGGAGCCTGGGGGAGGGGCGTGCTGCTGAGGGGGCAGGGGCCACACAGAAGGACGGGGTGATGAGGCTCTCCTGGCAGGGGCGAGAAGAGGATCTCACCAAAAGTCACTGGCCAAGCCCTCCCCTGTCCTTCTAGGCTGCACTGTGGGCGAAGACCCTCAGGGCCTGTTCCGGAAACACCGGGAAGAGGAGCTGGAAGAGAGAAGGAAGCTGTACCGGTGAGCCCTCCTCCCCTGACCCCACGTGAGCTGCTGCTGCTTCCAGCACCCACGCCTGATTTCCTTCCCGCCCCACAGGTGGGGAAACTGGAAGGATGGGTTAATTCTGAGTGTGGCTGGGACGAAACTAAGTGACCTCCCTGTGGATGAGCGATTTCTGGAAGACAAGAGAGTTGACTTTGAGGCTTCGCTGGCCAAGGGGTGAGAGCAAGGGGAGGCTGGGTGAGAGGGAGGTGTCCTGGTCTAGTGGAAGCCAAGGGGCTTATGGGCTGCACTGCACTGGACTGGCCCAAGATCGGTGCCTGTGGTCGCCATGTTGGAGTCTCAGAATGATGCTCAAACCCTTTGCCCCATCCTGCCCTGAAGGCTGGCGGACCTTGCTATCAAAGACTCTTTAAACGTTCTGACTCGCTGGAAGGATCTGGATGACTTCAAACGGATTTTCTGGTGTGGCCAGAGCAAGCTGGCAGGTCAGTCCCCCTCCCCGATGTGTCTCCCAGGACCCTTACCCCCTGATCCCGCCCAACCCAGGGGAATTGAAAGCAGCAGCATGGG